TACAATTCTAGCTCTAAAGAAGATCTTTATATTAAATTATATAGAGAGCCATTTGGTTATAGTATATTTTCCGTCCAATCAAATTCTTATCCCAATCTAAGCCCGCATGAAGGGGGAGCGTTGTTGCCCCAGAAACACGTTGGCTGCTTTTTGTTGGATTGAATTGTGAGCAATTAAGGCACTTTTGGACTCTTTAACCTTTTGGTTTGGCACCCTTTATTTCTGAACATTGAGTAACTTCTGGTTACCCAGTGGAAACCTGTTTAGTTTGGGAGCTGCCTTGCCAATGCCAGTGAGCTTATTTACAAATTTTCCTCCATCTGGATGATTTGAATGAGCACAAAAAACCCAGCGCCTCTTTAATGTGTTTCTTTGAAAATTATCTTAGTGTGTATCAATATAAAAAAAAAGTCTGTTCCTGTAATAAGAAGAAAAAAAAAAAAGAGGATTTTATGTCACTTCTCTTGGTCTTCAGCTAGGACTGTATGTAAAAACTGGAAAGATAGTTTAAGCTTCTTCAAAAGTGAAGTGTTTGTGTCTATTTCTATTACATCTACCCTCCCTGCAAACATCACAAATGACTTGCTCAACTTGCCAGACCTGTATCGCCCATGTCACCGAGGGCCGAGGTGCTAAACAATTTTTTCTCCTCAGTATACACTCAGGAGGGAAACGGGTTCGACATACGTGATAAAACACAGAGTTCAACCGATAATATACCACAATGGTTGACGGAAAGCGGGATACAACAAAGACTTAAAATGCTCAATGCAAATAAAGCAGTTGGACCAGATAACCTTCACCCCAAGGTACTTAAGGAATTAAGTCAGGTTATAACAAGACCATTATTCCTAATTTTTAAGGAATCCTTAGTGACTGGTAGGGTACCATGTGATTGGCGGAGGGACTTGGTGAGAGTTAAGAATTTTGTGTTAATTACTTTTTCTATAGCGCTTTTCTTTCTGGGCGCTAAAATTGCTTATCAATTTGGTGTTGAGGCAATTAGAAGCTGAGGCAGCCATCTTGGGCATGCAGTAGAAAATAATTCTAGGACCAGTTTTAGATAGGAGCCAGTTGACCTACACTTTGGAGGTTAGGAGGAAACCGGAGTACCCGGAGAATACTCCATGCAGTCCCCTGGGAGTCCTGGCCAGGATTTGAATCAAGTACCCCAGTGCTAACCACTAAGTTGCTGTGCTGCCCTAATACTGGGAAATGTAGTATCAGCAATGCGGCAGCGGGGGGTTTGAGAAGCAGGAAGGCCTCTTCTACAGACCATATAGTATAGGAGAAGTGGTGGGAGAAGGTCATGTGACTAATACTTTATACTTGAAATAATGCAAGGAACCTCGTTTCTTACGTTCTCAAACAGATTATCTTTGCAAGGCGTATATGCACAGAACTGTCTTTGTTTCTCTATCCAATTTTTGCCTACAGTACTACTTTACTTCTCTGTAACAAGAGTGATAAATATCTGAATCAAAACAAATGTCAAGCTGTGTTTGCATATTTTTTTTCTTTGCTATATTGTATAAAGTAGCACACACATGTTCCATTGTTATTATTGTAGTTATACCTAAATACATCATTGCAAAGAGAAGCCATAACATGCAGATTTTGGGTTCATACAATATTTAGTTCAATAAAGACTTTATCGGGAGCCCAGCCCTAAACGCAAACCACAGGTAATATTCCAGCGGGTACAGTCTGTAAAAAGGGGCCTCCCATAAACTACTACATGGAACACAAAGAATAAGAGACCCATTGTTGAGGCACAATAAGTCTTTATTGAGAAGGAGACATTCATTGATAGAGATAATATTATATTACCCTTCAATATATGCATAATACAAGACCAACAATTCATACCACATGAAAATGCAAATATTGTATAGATTCAACTAAGCTTTTTTATTTATAGTACTCTGAAAATAGCATGAGGAAAGCACCCAGCATTTCCAGACCTGTATGCAATCCTCTCACTGGGGAGGTTGTGCTGGCTCCTTGCTACCGTAAGAGGGGAGAGAGAACATTGCATTCAGGAAGATCTGGGATTGCTGAGTACCACCTGAGCTCCACCTGTGTCAAAGAGGAAATAAGGCTTTCTGCATGTGAGAGTAGATGGGAGTTAGAAGTGCCTGACATTATACAACCTGCTGGGATCTAGCCTTTGGGAGGCTTATCCACAAATGCTTTTGAACTGCAGTAATGTTGATCCGACATATCTTGTGAGTGTGGAAGCTTACGGGTTTTTAGGATGGCTATAATGTGGCTTTGTTATCAGAGTGAAAATTTGTATTAAATATACAAACCTGTTTGGGAACTTTACAGTACAATCAGCTACAGACCACAGACTCCAAGCAAGAACAGGTCAGGTCTCAAGGGGAAACATTAAGGATCTATTTACACCTAACCATTAAATATTGTGTAAGCTGTAGAGCCATAGGAGCACAGAAGAAAATGACTTTGCATACATCTAATAAAACCAATAAAGAATATAAAATAAATAAATTAATCTCTTGCCATAGTAAATTTGTGACCTACCTATAAGAATGTCTATGTGGGTTACAGTAGGGGGGAAGGACAACTAGGGAGCTTAAGAAAAGACTAGAGGAGCATGTGAATAATATTAAAAAGGGTTTTAATAAGCACAGTTTATCTAGGCTTTTTAGAATTTTCCACATCTGTGACCCTAAGGGCCTGTTCACACGACGTCCGTTTTGTGTGCTGACCGGCTCCGTACGCTGCTGCACTCAAAATGCATCCCAATGTATCCCTATGTGTTTTATGGGCTCCAGTTCTCATGTGCGCAGTCCGTTCAGCTTACGACAGAAAAAATACTGCATGTCACATTTTGTCAGGCCCGGAAACGGTCAGGAAACGCAAACGCGTCCAAAACGCATCAAAAACGCACTGCAGCTAACATACTAACAGCCCCACTCCAGCAAAAAAAAAATATATATATTTTTTTTTTTTTGACTGGAACGCATCAAAAACGTGGCAAAAACGCACTACATCAGTCTGCAGATCTGCACCTGATCAGGACCTGATCAGGACCTGATATCATGTGAACAGGCCCTAAAGGTTTAAAAATAGTGGGAATTGATGAAATGGAGAATCATTGGAGAGGTACTAAAATGAATCCAAATGGATTTATGTATTGGACACTTTGTTTCCTAAGGGGCTTAATATTGACTTCGATTTAAACAGTTTTTTAAGTAATAAATGATTTATTACGGGGATTACGAGAGATTCAGTTCTTACTGTACAATATTTATTTGTTCCTAGTGTTTCTATAAATGCATTTTAATGTATCCTTTAGCTTTTATGAATGTATTTTAAAATATTTATATTTAGTACTCAATGGTTAAACATTTACCATTGAACGATCTGGAGGCACACCTGATGGTAATATATT